TTCTTTGATTAACTAGACATTTATTGTATTGAATAGTGCTCCAGTGAGAGGGCCATTATGAACAACTTAGAAATTTTTTATTGAGACAGGAATTTTGCCAAGGGTTCATGGGGAAATGAAGGAAGATGTGATAAAATTCATCGCGATTAAAATGTGGCCCATGTGAAGGACTGAAGACTTCACAAGTCTCCTGGTATCCTAGTTATTGGAGCTACCCAAAAGCTCTAAAACTTAATACAACAAGGAAGTTGCTTGAGCACCTGGAGAATTAGATTTTTAGTGTCAGGAGTTGGATAAGTGTGGTCATGCCCTGCTGTAAATATTGGAAAATAATATACATGGCATTTGAAGGCTTGGAGACAGACACCATAAACCATGTCTTATCAGTGGTCTGGTTTCTGTTTTGAGTTCCAGCCTGGGACACTTTTCTGCTGGGAACCACCTGTTCCTGGCTCTGTTGATCTTTGGATTTCCCCAGCCCTTCAGTCCCTTTCAGTTTTGAAATGAAACCTACCCCAGAGGGCGAGGTCAGGTACCGAGAGGACTTTGACAGCTCACACCGTATTGTTTTTTTTCCAGAGCCGTCTGGTACGTGACTGCATGAGGTGTGAGGCTCAGCAGGCTCTGATATGGACTAATTGATGGTGAATCAGCTGTTGGGTAAGGCCTGGAGAGTGTCATTTTTTTGGGTAACCAGGAAAACACGACCAAATACGTTGTGTTTCATCTACAGACAGTTGAAAGTTAAGAGCACAATCACCAGACAGCTGCCCAGGACCTCTCTGCCTCTGGTTTGCTGAAGAAGGAAAGGCTTTATTTCAGCTTCATCTCTCCTCATTTGTAGGTCCTTCTGTCTGTTCAAGCCTGTGGCTTCCTTCTGCTGCTCCAGCTTCTACACCTTTATATACTGTGCCTCTTGGAATTGCTGCGAATTGCTGCTTTGGGAACTAACTCTTCTAGATACCCCTAAACACCTCCCTCCTCCAACCAGACTCTTCACAGAAGAGTCCTCTTCCCTTTGCTGTAAACCTCGTTTCCACCAGATTACAGCACTTCACTTGGAATCTTTACAAGTGGAACTAGCTTTTACTTCAGCTCACTCCATGCCACTTCCTCCCTGACTTTGTTTGTCTTCTAGTCTCATTTTCCAGCACTCCAGAGCTGCTTTCAGACCTTCATATACTTTCAAATACCTTTTTGCCTTTGAGATGTATGCCGGCCAGTAAGGCCACCTGATTGCTGTCCTTGAGGCAGGCATCTGCATCCATGTCCCTTGTGTTTGTTTAAGACTTTGGTGTCTCATCTCCCCTGCTGTGGCCCAGGCTTGGGGATTGGTGGGCAGGGCTGGGCTTGGGCCAAGGATTCAGGGTGGAGTGTGGAATTAGGGGGCTTGGTGTTAGCGTTGCAGATATGGGCAGGTGGGAAGCTGATGATGTGAACATCAAGAAGGGTGGCAGGGATAGAGAATTTAGCATTTGAAGCAAAAGATGTCCTTTGTAGGCTATCTTCTGTGCCCATTCTTTTTTGAA